ACATAAAAAGCAGATGGCTCATTAATGCCATTTATTGGACCGGAAACTTTCTGCATCGTTGCAAAGGCAGTAAAAAGAAGGGCACCCAATTCTATAGAGGTCAATTCTAAGCTAGTATGGGATTGTGTGGATACCCTAAATAAACTATGCGACCGTAGCAAGGTTACGGTAGCCTGGGTACAAGGGTACTATGGTCAAAAGAGCATAAAAAGCAGATGGCTCATTAATGCCATTTATTGGACCGGAACCTTTCTGCAGCGTTGCAAAGGCAGTAACAAGAATGGCTACAAGGAAGTGGGTAGTACAAAAATCTCTGGAATAGTAGACCAATTAACAGGGCACTGAACAGCTGATGGGATTGGAAGATGATAATCTGTAGAGATTTTGTCACCTAGAGGAAGATACAGCAGAGCACATTCTGTGCCAATGCGAGAGCCAAATGTGCGGTTTTTTACATTAGGCGAGGAAAAGCCACTGGCAAAGAGCTACATGGAAGGTTCAGTCTCAAAGCTATTAGACCTTTTAAAAAGAGGCAGGCTAAAATCGGTTAAAAGCCACTTCATTGAATCTATCTATCTGGGGATGCATACTATCTTCGATCTTAGTCAAAATATACAGAAATAAAATAATAAAAAATGTACTTTACAATTAAAAATTGGTACGACCATAAATGGTATAAACTTAATCAATCTAAAATATGCTGCCGCTACTGAGATACTTCCACATGCTTTTGAAGTCTTATAAAAATAGACCAAGACATAAACCAAGAGATAAAGCAAGGATAAAAGATATAAACATTAGCAAACGTTACATGCCACATTGTAATATACTGAATACTGAAAACCAGAATATCATAACAAACTTAACAGAAATTTTGAAGATCTGGAAATAATCTTTTAGTGGCCTGTGGAATATAGGAGGTGCACTCAATACTGAAAATATAGCATACCAGAGGGCAGAAAGAAGAACTGATAGGAACGCCATCACTAGCCTAGAATAAAAAGCGATCGAACAGTTAAAAAACAACAAAATAGAAGGGGGTGGTAATATAAATGCGGAACTCATAAAACATAGTGGAGAGCAGCTGCATAGAGCAATAAAATCATTGATGGCAAACATATGGGAAAGAGAAAAATTGCCGAAGGAATGGAACGAAGATATTAGATGATTTCAATCTAGAAATAAGGTGACACATCAGTGTATAAGATCTATATAGTTATAACTATTATTACTGAAGATCTAAATCCGAAATCAGAAATTCAGTCAATAACAGAGAAATCAAGAGTAGCCTTTTTGAATATGATAATTTCTAAGTAACCAAAGACTCAATATGCAAAATCCGATATCGGATGGTAAAATATTACATCCACTCTATTCTTCTTTATGGTGCCGAAGCTTGGACTGTTCATGTTGACTTAATGAGAAAGCTGGAAGCTTTTGAGATGTGGCTTTTTAGAAGCATTTTGAAAATACCATGTCTTCTTCTCCTTTCTTCTTGTATATAGGCTTTAATGCCTGTTTTTTTTTGAATTAGCCTCCTGTAACCCTTACGCTCCAGGATATCACAATTGTGTGGGTCTTATTAAGATATGAATCAAAATTTTATACTAACTTAATCACGCTGATCACAATTTTACATTTATTAGCAGTTTCAGCACACATGGTTTATTTCATCACATATTTACGTTGGCATTTGAGGTTGCTATACCAGCCTTGTTTTTATGTGACTTGTGATGACAAATAAAGGAAGGTTTCACTTTAATTTTGAATGTATGGATTTACATGATAAGCTTAACCCTCCGTTAGTCGCTATCGGTCTCACACACCGACGACAAAACTATTCATTCGGGATTTACAAATAACTGTTATTTTTCTATCGCCACTTTCTGTACCTCTCCTTATCAACCAAACTCGTGTTAGTGTACATTCTTACATTCCTGGGTACAATTGTGTGAGTTTTATAGTTATTTTCGGTGCCAGAGTCCGTAGCGACTAACGGTGTAGCTATTATTTATTGCAGAACTTGCAGAACAGGTAAATATTTATCATCTTATTATTACATTTTATCGGTAAGTTTTTGTCAATTCTTATTCATAGATGTCCTTTGAAGCCAAACAACTTTGATTCCAACGCTTGTTGGAATTATGGACATGATTCCTACCGACGATGAAAATTATTTTGACGATGAAAAAGTGAAAGCGAAATAGATCAAATTGAGGTGGTGATGGTGGAAATGAATCGGAACAAGATGTTACAGATGAGAAAAAAGAAAGTGGAAGTAATACCTTAGCGTTTATTGGAAAATATAGCGTTACTAGATGAAAAAGGGCTATTCCACTGTAAAATGTTAGAACAAGATAAGAAAATTATATATTACGTAATACAAACTAATGTTTGTATTTTGAGAACGATATCCGATGTGAAAATGAAAACATCAATAAACTTACTTTAACCTTTAATTGTGGCTTATTCCCATTTAAACAGTAATTACTTTAAAATGCCACAAGAAAATAGCTTCAGAACAATATTCACAATATATTGTTATGCTAGTGTTTTTCATTTTTTATCTGTTTTTTTTTTCAATAAAATATTTTCAAAAATATTTTTTAGTTATTCCTATAAACAATATAAAATATTTGTATGAATTTTATATTAAAAACAATCTTTTTTAATTGTCGGTCTCAGACACCGTAGCGACTCTTGATGCTCAGTTTTTCCTAGCGACTAACGGAGGGTTAAAAACATTTCAAAATATTTTGAGGTTTTTTTTTGTGTATACATTAAGAGTTGGTATCACAAATGTAACAGCTAGGAGCCATTACACACAGAGAGGACAAGGTCAGCACTGTAAAATTTTTGATTTTTGTGTCTGAAGCACTGAATTTGCAAAAGCTTGCAGCCAATCCAGATTGGGTATACAAACTGAGTCTGATTTTGAAGTAGAATGAGATACAGATGAACTGGAGAAAAAGAGTTGGGAAGCAGTAGTAGTAACAACGAAGTGCCTAGGGCTAGCACCTGCCAAAAAGTCTACTCCAAAAAAAGTAGAAATTAAATTATAAAGATGCTCCTATAGATGAAACTAGAAAATCAAAAATCTTTGATTGATTGGATCACCAGCCAGTACATGAAGACCACAACAATCCTAACACTTATCTAAAATCCTTGCCAAAGTCGATCAAGGGTCCAATGCATAAAGTGAAACAAAATGTTTGCAGAAAAACCAAAATTACAAGTTCTAATTTTCTTACCTAAATACTTTCAACACATTTTTATTTGTCATCTTAAATGTCCTTGCAATTTTGTTTAATTTTTGTTTCTGAGAAAATTCAGGATTTCTAATAATGTACTAAATAAGGTAACATTTTGATCTATACATTCCAAAAATGTAGACTCAGGAGCGTAAGGGATATTGTTTAAAATATCGCACCATATTTTTCTTGGTCTGCCAATACTTCTTCGTCCATTTGGTGACTTATCTCGTGCTATTCGTACTATCTTATCCTCTGCTTCTACTAATGTGTTCGTTCCAGTCCTGTTTCCGTTTTGTCAGCCATCCATTGATGTCTTCTATATTGCATGCTCTTTTTATGTTTTCCCTTCTCTCCCCATCCAACAAACTTTTCCCTGATATTCAACGGACTATTTTCATCTCTGTTGTTTCTACTAGTCGTCTCGTTTTAGATTTGTCAGGTCTTGTCTCCGCCGTGTATATTAATCTAGGTCTAATTGCTGCTTTATATATTCTTGTTTTTGTGTTATTGTTTTCTTTGTAAGAAATCCAAATTAAATGTTAAAAAAATAAAATGAATGGTGATATCAAAAACAACAACTACCAGGGACATATTGGACTCTTAACTGGGATCTTTACGGAAATACAAATACCATTCTAGAACTAGGAAAAGTTCTCATGCTTCAGAATATAGCAACTTCTCTTTTTTTATATATATAAGAGGTTATTTATTATGTGTAAAAAGTTAAGCGCTAAACATTACTGAGAGAGTATCTTAAAATTACTCTATTACCATGTCATTTAATTTGCTTATTTTGGAAAGAAAAATTATAATTATAAATTAGAGTTTAAAAACAAGCATTATTCGAACACAAAATCGAATATATTGTATGAAATTTTTGTATTTTCATTGGAAAATACATTATACGCTTCATTTATGGAAATACATTATATTTCTCGGGAAAAAGGAATCACACCAAATATAAATCTAACTTTTTATAAGACTCTTTCAATCGCACAACGGCAACTATGTTGAACACCTCCTGAAAGAAAAGAGAGGCAGGCAAGACAGGCAAACAAGACAAAGAGAACATAAAAAAAAAGAAAATGTCAGTGAGTTGATAATGCAGTGTATGAATATGCTTATGAAGCAAGCATATGATTGATTTTATTCATTTTGAAGGTTGTTTTGTCGATGATTAGTCTGATTTTGTTCAAAAATTTATTAAAAATAAACAAATCAATTTGGAAATATTGAATGATCAAAAAAACTTATGGGAAATGATTAAAAATTAGAGATATTAATTTAGATCAGTTTGTAATTAAAAATTGGTCAGACTAAAAATCGAAGATTTTTTTATATTGTCAGATAGTTTAAGTAAGGGGTTTGACTTATTAACAAATTTGATATTACAAAGTTAACATTAACTTGAGATATGTTATCATAAAATCAATACTAGAATATTCTGATAATAAAATAGTAACTTGATCAAAGTGATTTATATTTGGTGAAATAACAGGTTTAAGCGCCCTAACTATCTGGCCCACAAATATACATGGTTTCAAAAAATGAGAAAAATCATGTTAAAATATCAAGATTTAAATAAAATTAATAATCCAATCACCAAAGAAAAAATAAATTAGAATAAAATACCAAAACAACTGTTTTTTTAATACGTTGATAATAATTTCAATACCTTCAAAAGGAAGCATTGTGATGGTCGATGAATGAATATAGTGTTGGAAAGCTGGAGCTTTGTGTACTTACTTAGTCATAATTACTGTGTTAACACCACCCTTTTTCTGGTCTAATTGGGCTATAATAGGCTGTAACAAAAAAAAAGAGATCAGTCTAAAATACATCTAAGAATTGTATTATTTAATATTAGCTTTAAATCTTTCGTGAACAGGGAAAGTAATACAGTATGCTCCCTCTATAACGAACACGGTTATTACGAGGTTTCGCTTATAACGAGGTACATTAGATGTCCCGTGAAATTTCTATTGAACTATAACCCTCTATAGCGAGGCAAATTTGGTTATAACGAGAGAAAATAAGATCAAAAAACGTGTTTTTTTACGTTTTTGGTCCGACCGTGACTATAAATAAATACCCTTTTTAACTGCCGCCCTGTAAGAAACTTCTGTTTAATCTACCGACCGATTTTGTGTTGTCGGAAATTTGCAATTTATGATTCACGAAAGTCAGTGTAGGGGTTTGATCATTCGCACCCAATAAACAAAAGAGGCTTAAAAACATGACAAATGAAACAAATTTCACCAGAATTTCATTTCACAGTTGTTTTTGTCGTAGATGTTTATTGTTTGTTTCCTGATTGTGCTTTTGCATCTTGAAAGTTGTGTTGTAGGTTACATAGTCACATAGATTACACACTATAACTCCTAAAAGAAAAGCATTTACTTTAGAAGAAAAAATTAACATCCTTAAAGATGTTGAAGGTAAAAAAGAAGTTTGTCGTGAAAGAGGAATTTCAAGTCCCACTCCATCTACCATGCTCAAAAATAAACAAGATTTTCGAAGCAGGTTCATCTTTTTACGGTACATCGAAAAAACTACGTGTCACAACTAATAAAGAACTCGATACTGCAATGATCAAAAGGTTTACCCTTAACAGAGCTGCGAATGTTCCAATAAGTGGACCACTGCTTCAAGGAAAAGCAACACAGTTTTCGCAGGCGCTAGGTGGTGATGAGAATTTTAAAGCATAGAGTGGGTGGATGAGCCGTTTTAAAGCCAGGCACAAAATTACGTGTGAAGCGAAGAGTGTTTCCAAAGAAGTCACCGACAACTGGTTGAAGTCAAGGTCTACAATAAAACAAAATTACAGTGACGATAATGTTTTCAATGCCGACGAGCTGGTACTTTGTTTTAAACTTACTCCAGATAAGACCCTCAAATTAAAAAATGAACGTTGTTAGGTGGCAACTTATCAAAAGAAAGGGTAACTGTACTTGCGTGTGCCAACATGTCCGGTTCCGAAAAAATGAAGTTAGTCGTCAGTGGCAAATCTCAAAAACCACGATGTTTCAGGTGTAAATCAGCTTTCTGTCACATATAAATTTAATAAAAAATCGTGGATGACAGCAGATATTTTTAGTGGAGAACTTTTGAAGTGGGACAGAGAGTTGGCACACCGATAGATTCTTTTAATTGTTGCAAATTGTGCAGCCTATCCGAAAGTTAACGGTTTAAAAAACATTTAACTTCTTTTTTTACCCCCAAATTGCACATATGTTCTGCAACCGATGGATCAGGGCATCCATTATAAGGTCCCTTAAAGTTCACTACAGAAAACTTTATTTAAGCTGATCCTGAATAATGTGGAAAACCGTTGTGAATCCCTTGTTACTTTATTAGATGCCATAAATTTCATCCTCAAAGCATGGACACTCAGAAAAAGTAGATAAAAAACCATCAGAAAATGTTTTGGTCACGCGGGGTGGACAAATACTGAGGTAGGTGAATATCCTGTAGCAGAGTGATTAAGGTTACAACAGCAAGGTCAAGAACTAACCCAATTGAACAATGATGACGAGTTTGCTGAATTCATTGCTATTGATGATGACGTGATTGTTTGTGAGCTTCTGACGGATAGTGAAATTATCGCGGAAGTAATAAATCCCGCCGGCGGAGCGCGTTATCGTCAGTGACGAAAGTGATGAAAATGGAGAAGACAATCGCGGTGAATCTGCGCAAGAAGGTATTAATAGACAAGATGTGGAAAGTGCTTTAAACGTTGTAAGAAACTTTATCCAAAGACAAAACGCAAATGAAGAAGCATACAACTGTTTCACATGTTTAAACAATATGATAGAATGATACTGCACAATTTAAGGCAGTCATAATAACAGACTTCTTCCAATTGCAGAAGCAATAGTTTATGTTATCCTTGAAAATACATTTTATACAATATGTAGTTGAAAAATTCTAGTTGTTCCTTTGTTTATTATTGTTGTATTTATGTTTATTATAAGGGTAATATTATTGTAAAATTAATTCTGGTTCTTAAGTAGTTTTTTTTCTGGTAAATTTGTTGTTTCAATTTTTTAAGTTGATTGATCTTATTTCTGGTAAATAAAACTGTGAATGATTATTATTCGCATAATAAAATGTTAAAATGTGATACTGAGCGTTTTGTTTTTAAGTGTCTATAACGTGATGTCAAATAAACAATGTATTTGCAGAGTAGCTCCAAACACTGAGAATATATATAGAAGATGTCATATCAGCTGAAAGAGAATTAAAAATGTAAACGAAAAATGTCAAAATATATACGGTGTCCCATATAAAAAAAATAAGTTGATATTATATTTCCTTAATATTAAAGTTTTAATAAAGCTTTTTAAAACTAATCTTAATAAAAAAGATATTTAACCTTTTCGTTTTCGACATTTTTCAATAATCGCCCTGTATCTCGCTAATGTGGATAGCTATTGATGATTTGATTTGGCAATCGTTTCTTTAATGAAAACAAAAAGTCATGACATCTCTTTACTACTTTCTTTCTATCTCCTCTAGTTTTCGCCATACCCTGCTTCTTCTTTTTATGTGCCGTCTTCTACCGAAGGTTGGCGATCATCTTACGATAGGTTTCTCTGTTTTGTGCCGCATGAATTATGTTCGCAGTTTCTGGTATTTGAAACCCTTCTCTCAAGTTTCTCAGCCAGGATTTCTTCTTTCTGCCCAAACCTCTTCTACCTTCAATATGGCCTTCCACGATAAGCTGTAGCAGACTGTACTTATCATTACGGAACACATGGCCCAGGTATGACGCTTTCCTCCTTTTAACAGTTGTTAACATTTCCACCTCTTTACCCATTCGTCTTAATACCTCTGTGTTGGTCACTCTGTCTGTCCAAGGTATTCTCAGTATGCGTCGATACAGCCACATTTCTAGAGCCGCTAACTTCTTTATAGTTGCTGCTGTTAACGTCCACCCTTCTACGCCGTAAAGTAGCGTAGAGAGTACGTAGCATTTCGTGGCGCGCCATCGGAGGTTAATGCTTAGGTTGCGGTTGCTTAAGAGCTTTCTCATTTTGATGAATTTGGATCTTGATATTTAAATTCGGATTTTAATCTCTACTTCTGGGTCCCACTTGTCATTTACTGTATATCCCAGATATTTAAATCGGTGTACTCTTTCAATACGTTCGTCTTCAATATGCAGGTCGATATGTTGAAATTTTTTTACTGATCACCATAAATTTAGTTTTCTTTCTATTGATCTTCAGTCCAAATCGGCTGCCAGTTGTATTAACTCTATGTAGCATCATCTGTAAATCTTCGATGTTATCGGCCAGTATAATAGTATCATCTGCATATCGAAAATTACTTATTGGTACGCCATTAATCTTGATGCCCTCATTGTACTCTTCTAGTGCCTCTAGAAATATTTGTTCCGTGTACAGGTTGAAAAGCAGTGGCGAAAGAATACAGCCCTGTCTTACCCCTCTAGAAATGGTTATGTTTTCACTCACCATATGTCCATTCTTCATGTGGGCTGTTTGATTCCAATATAGATTTTTTATAATCTGGATGTCCTTAGTGTCAAGTCCTGAAAGACGTAATAGTTCTATGAGTTTATCATGTTTGATAGTATCGAATGCTTTCTCATAGTCGATAAAACAGACGTAAACATCTTTCTGTTGATCCAGGCATTTTTGAATCAAAACTTGTATTGCAAAGAGGGGTTCTCGAGTTCCAAAACCGCATCTAAAACCGAACTGTGTTTTACTTATGCTGTGTTCTAATTTTGCTCGTATTCTGGAATGGATAATACGCAAAAATACTTTAAGGGTGTGGCTCATTAAACTTATAAGGCGATATTCACTACACGTCTTAGAATTATATTTCTTGGGAAGGGGCACAAATGTAGATTTCAACCAGTCCGATGGAATTTGACCAGTATCGTATATCTTATTAAACAGTTCCAATACTACATTCAGGTTGTTCTCGTTAAAAACTTTTAAGAATTCGACTGGTATTTCATCGCATCCTGTTGCTTTCCCATCTTTCGTTTGATCTATAGCTTTTATCACCTCACTTTTCAATATTTTTGGTCCATTCAGATCAAGAGTGTTCGTAGAAATATGACGATAATCCGTAAACAAATCTTTTATGTAGATTGCCCAAGTCTGTAACTGTTCTTCTTTATCTACAATAAGTTTATTGTTCTCGTCTATTAACCTACCAAATACCCTGCAAACATACCAATTTGGGACATCCTGTACATGATGCGTTAATTCACAAACTTATAACATTACTGTTCGAGAAATTGTGGGTTTTTGATCAGTTATGACAGGAGTTAGGAAGCAAAAATTTATCGATTTTTCAAAGAAAGAAAAGCTTGAGGAAGTGTTAGTCAAAAAACTCATCGGAAAAAAATTAATGGAAACTGATCATATAGAAAGGACAGTTGAGATTTGATTTTATGTATAGTGCCTCTACTATTAGCTTATCTGTATTCATCAGAACGACTGATGTAGAAGGGTTTCTACATCGTACCAGTCCACGGGGGCTCTTAGGTCGCCAATTCACGAAAACCCCGTGTCGTGGAAGTCCAGAAGATAACTACGTAAAACGTAATAGATATGTTTGAAGCCGTGAAATTACAAAATATTCAGCTAGAAATGGCGAGACTAGATATCCTCATCCTAGATATCTGCGAAACGAAATGGCCAGGATCAAACATATTTGAGAGTAATGGATATATTGTTTCTCACTCGGGAAAAGCAGAAGGGTAACGGAGTTGCAACCATTGTCAAAGAAGTAACTGTATTCGAAATTTCGTTTCTTTCAATGATCG